ACAGGAGGCGGCAAGTACGACGCAAAGGAGCTACGAAGGCATGGGAACACACCCGCAAGGCAACCCTACGGCCAGATCCACGATCTAGGCCCCGGATCCATAAGCTCGAATATTCGCTTAGGATACGGAACCATCCACGGACGCAGAGTAAAGATTTTCCACTGCTGCTCCACCCCATCCCCACGTCTCGCCAAGACACTCAAGCTTCACCACTTGAACTCTTCGGAAGTTACCGAGAGAGCAGATACCGCATTACCGACGGGTACACAAGGTGAGGAAAGTTCAGCAGAACACGGATCATCGGGGGACCCCCTCCGTTAGTCGGTGTCTGGGCGCAGTTGGTAAGTTGGATCCAGCAATCTCGCAGATTTTGCTGATCCCGCTACACCACATAAACGTCCAGCCGTCGATGATGATGCCAAACTTGGTGAGGAGCACCTCGCTCAGCGTAGCCTCGACCTTCTTAGTCACTAAGTCCGCGTACTTAAGAAGGGTATTGGCTTCATCACCGTGTATTTTGTGACGGTGTCATTCTCACAGATTCCGAACGGAAGATTGCACTCGATTATCATGACGAGCCAGCTGTAAGCCGTCTGGCTCTTCTGGTCGATGAAGGTGACAAGGGTGCCCGAGTTGAAGCCGCTTAACTGCATCGTCGTCAGGTAATCGGGGTGGCGCTTCAGCACGTGGTTAAACGGTTTGAGTACCGTCCTGCTTGCGAGTGGTACCGCATTGGCACCGAAAATACTTCGTCGGCTGATCTTGAGCGTCTAATAGAGCAGTAAAAAAGTAGCTGCAGATTGCTTGGTCGTGAAGGTGTTGGAGAGAGCCATGGTAAGATTAAAAATGATAGACGAGCGCCTCAGGTTCGCGTTTTGAGCGACCGTCGCTAACAGCCATTCAATTCTGTCTGGAGACCGAGCTCCGTAATTATGCAAAAAAAAGCAGAAAAAACAAGATTTTACGAAAAAAATAAAGTACTTTGTTGTAAATACAAAATAGCTAGTTAAAATAGTCATCAAATTTGTAAAAATCAATAATTAAATGTAAACTATTGTATTGAAGCAGCAATACAATGATTATTTCGGAATGCCTGGTGTCATCGGAGGGGAAAACCGTTGAGGTTAATTGCTAGGGTGGTGATGGGCAAAGGTAATTGCGCATCCGATTCGCGTAATCATAAAATCTGGCAGGGTATCGACTGATACCGGTGCCGAAATGGAGGTGCACGACTGTATTTTTCTCAAAAAGTACGAAATAGGTGAAAGCCGACTCGTTAAGATCCGTGTAAGATTTTTTGGGTTTAGGAGGGTGAAAGAATTCATACCAAGCTTGTGATGGCACTAGACTATTTGAAAAGCAGTTAGATAGAAGTCACGGCCCATCATAATGAGTTGATGAGGTCTCGCTCACTCTAAAAACCAACGAGCAGGCCACGGGAATAACAATGCAGCTGGAAAAAGCGGAGCGGCTAGAGGAGAAAATTACCAAACTGGCACTTCGCCTCGATTCAGCTAACCTTTCAGACCAGGACATTGATCGAGGTCTGGAGTTGATCAAAGAAGTTCAAGCGTTTCTGGAGCAGACTGATTACGGAAACTGCATTGCAGTACTTGGGGCGACTGGAGCGGGGAAAAGCACTGTAGTTTCCATGCTTTTCGGAAATAGCAAATTACTCGTGCATCACGAAGATGAGTACACACGAGTACTTATCGCTGAAAAACCACTACCTGGCATCAATATTCAATATGGATCACTATCGAAGACTTTACTACCGGCTGTCTTGAGCGCAAGCGTTAACGGGCAATCGATGATGATAGTTGACATGCCTGGAACGCATGACACTCGAGGCCCATTTGCCGAGCTTGTTGCGCATTTTATATTAAACTGGCTCTTGGCAAATCACAAGAATGTGCAGTTCATCATCGTTGCAACACCTCCACAAGAACGCTCACAGGAAGTTAGACTGGCTGGCTCAGTCAACCGAGCTTGTGTCAGTGGGTCAAATACTGTTCTCGTGTTCACGAAGTGCGATGCTGACTTCGATCCGAGGATCGCCACTAAAATGAAGGCTATCTATCCCGAATATCGTGATATACCAGTCTTCGCCTTGCCTAGACCGAGGAAATTAGATAAAGAAGGACTCGACTATTCCTCCCCACTCGCGGAAATGAAGCTCAACGTGTTGCGAGCACTTGCTTCTCCAGCCAAACAAGCAAGCGCGTTTGCTGAACCCATCCCCGATACAGCTCAGCTTTTACTTCGTACTTTTTGCAAGAGAAACATCGAGCTCGCTCGTGACGCGCTATCGCAAGTGTTGGGTAGCCAATATAGTCCACAACAGTCCCGGTATACCATTTCTACCATATCGGAATTGCTAGCCATTTTGGAAAGCCATGACCTTCTCACGTTTGAGACTTTCGTTGGACAAATTGAGCGCTTTGTGCCACGGTCCAGCAGCATTAGTGGCGATTCTACAGTGCTGAGAGCTATAGAACGGCTGAAATTCATGGAAATGTGGTCTGAAAGTCCACTGATGCGTTGCAAAGGTGAATGGCTGTCTGCGAAGTGTCTTGGCAAACTGGAGCAGATCAAGCGCAACCTGAACAGTTTGAACTTGAACGTGCACAAATATCAAAACTTGGAGAGAAAAAGGAGAGAAAACACGATCGTGGTTAGTGGTTACTGTTTGCGGTTGACGAGCAGTTCTCGTCTTTATTCGACCCTTGAGGATTTTGTGAAGGCGACAAATTCGACCACGGAAGCCATTCCTACAGTGGTTTTAATCGGATTTAAAGCCATCACGATTACAGCTGAGCTTCGTGTTTGGGCCAACGTCGTAATTATCAGTCCGGAAGTCTGCATGGCGAAAATTGATTTGTCAGCTGAAGGTCAAGCACCGCCTCCTGTTCAGTTTTACGCTATACCTGGCCAGAGCGGAGTGCACGGTGTACCAGGTCGATCTGGTGGGATATTGACAATTATCTGTAACGAACTCGTTAACCCTCAGTTCATTCACCTCTCCGCGGGTCAACAAGGAGGTGATGGTCAGAATGGTAGCGACTCGATCAATGAATTTGACCTGGAAAGTGAAAGGCAGCGCTTCAGAACGGACGTGGGGTCAGCGCTAAATTCACTTACGTCACTAAAGGAATGGGAATCGGTTTCAAAATATCCATATCTTCCGTTCGGGTTGTACGTCAGCAAGTGGTCAAAGAGAGAGATGCCTCCCGATACCGGTCATATGGCTCTAACAGCAGTCGGTTCAGCGATAACGGCAAGTGGCGTAGCAGTAAGTGCTTGTCTTCCTTTATTAGCACCTATAGTCGCCCCAACAATGCTACCTGTCGGTACAGGGATGATTAGGAAAGGTATACAGAGGAATACTCAAGTAACACTTGAGCTTGAGCGCTCCATAAAGAAGGGCAAGGCAGCTGGTCGACCTGGAAGAGGGGGTTATGGTGGCTGCGGTGGGGAGTGTTATGTGGTAAAAGGTGGACACGAAGTCAGAACTCGCCGTGGTGCATCTGGCGAACAGGGGGAAAATGGGTTACCGGGCAAATCTTTGCAGACTCTTCTTCTGAAGGGCACAGTGACACAGGAGTACGGAATCTTTGGATGTCGCCAAGGGGAGCCTACAGTGGATATCGCCGCCGTCTTGATGAATGATGCTACATGTACAAATGTCCCTCGGTCAGGATTTAGTCCGGAACAACAGCAATCAACGATGAGAAACTCGTTACTTCGGAGAAGTGTAGTAGAAGGCTACTATGAAGAAGCTTTTGCGGAACTCAAGAAAACCTTTTCTCAGTGTGATTTCCCCGACGTTGAGATGCCGTGACCCGCAAATCACCCGCATATATCATTTTTCTGCATGTTTTTCTTGCCCCGTAGCGTAATATAAAACTTTTTCGAATTTCAAATTAACGCATTTTTCTTATTAGAGAAATTCGTTCAGTGATTTTTACCCTTAAAGTCTACATGGGCGCACCACTGGACGCAAGATCTGCGCTTTCGATGAAGACCCGGGGGATAATCCCTCGGGGATAATCTCGCCAGCTGTGCTGTTTTAGGCAGATCTGCTCCAAGACAGCGGATACTGGCACATAGAGGAAAAAATCTATAGAGAGTTTTCAGACCTGGGGCCTAGATTTTCCCGTATCTGGGCAAGATAGATTGGTGATGATACTTTCTATCATAAACTTCTAAAATCTTTCCAGCCATTTACACTGTTCGAAAACTATTAGAATTATTATTAGTGGCATGTATTAAATAAGCGTAAAAAACATCCCGGTGTCCCACATTGTGGCGGCTTTTGCTTTTCTTTAATCAGATTCTCAATCCCAACCTGAGCGTTTCTTCGTGCGTCCTCTGCACTATTTTCGACGATCTCGACGTCTCGACCAGACCGCAATTCTCCAGAACTCCCTGTCATGGCGCGGAACAAAGTACGGCCACAGGTGGACGCCCTCGATGGGCCAAATGAAGTGCTACTTGTGAGCGGCAGTGGCCCATCGTCGTCTGCCATCCCCACGTCCAAATTTCGACGCGTGCTACAGCGAGCAGTGCACGCGTATTGTCTCCACTTGTCCTGGGCCACTCGACAAACACTCATGATCGTGGCGAATCTCTTTGTGTTGCTTTACCTTTTTGTGACTATTCCATTCCGTGTGGCTTTTTACTACGATCCCTACGACGACAATCACTCGTGGACACAGGAACTCACAGTGCTTACTATTACCGACACTGTTGTTGACCTTGTTGGTCTCGTGCAATTTTTTTATTTCTTCGGGCGATGGAGACGCACACAATCATCTGTCATCTCAGTCAGATCAGTGGCCTCTACACGTAGATCGGAGACCAACACTCTGTCTCCAGCACCGTCACTAATCGAGCAACAACAACAAGGCAGAATCAAGTGGACAATCGCGACCATTCTGTCGGCATCTTCCCTGACTGAGACTGTTGTGTCGAAGAAAAAACAGTTGCGGTTAGAGTTAATGCTCGAGCTCGTTGCCCTCGTACCGGTGGAGATACTTCCAGCTACTATGGGGGCGTTCAACGTGTTGCATCTGGTGCGACTCACCAAGTTGTGTCGCCTCTACAAGTTGCGACGTTGCTTCGCTCGGATCGCAAAGATTTATTCTCATCATGCGTGGGCTCAGCAGCTCTCGTCTACGGGGGTCGATACGCTGGTAGGGACGATTGGGCTGTGTGCGGGAGTATGCCACTGGGTCGCGTGTGGATATATGCTCATTGCACATTTCCAGTGCGGCGTTACTCTTGAGTTCTGTCACCACGATGCAGAGACGAGCTGGGTCGTCCGAGATCGACTCTTTGGAGCTTCGGTTGGGCGAAAGTATGGACGTACCCTGTATTGGGCATCGCGAACATTGGTGTTGCTGGGGTACGACGATGTGACTCCGGTTTCCACTGCCGAAACACTTTACGTAGTGGCCGTCGTGCTGATGGGTGCGCTGTTTGGTTCGTCATTACTCGCTAATTTCCTGTTTCTATTTCGATTTCGCAACGCTCGATACGCTGCGTATACAACCCACGTCGACAACGCCCGAGAGTACATGCGCTCTCGGAATATCCCCCGACCTCTGAGACACCAAGTGACGGCGTTCTTCAGCTACTCGTGGAACGCGCACCACAGCTTGGATGGAGAGGAAGCGCTTCGCCTTATGCCCAAACATCTCCAGTCCAAGGTCGTGTCCACCATCAAGGCCAGTCGAATCAAACAAGTGTGCTTCCTCGCGAAGGAGAGCGTTGAATTTGCCAACATGTTAGCGCTGGCTCTCGTCCGACGGGTGTATTCTCCTGGCGATCAAATCATTGAGCCAAAGATCAACGCGGAAACGTTTTTTGTGATACGAGGCAAAGTGGTGGTGTCGAATTTCAACGGCTCAAACGCGAAGGAATTCTCAGCGGGGGATTTCTTTGCGGATGCGTGTTTGCTCGATCCAGAGCAGTACGAGCAGAAGGCTGTGGCCAAAACTTTCTGCGAGCTTTATGTGCTGGCCAAGAGCAAATTTGACCAGGCTCTAGCCGAGTTTTATCGTGGAAACGAGGCCGACGTGCGCTTGCGAATGACTGATACGCTCGACAAGTATCTTTTGCAACTTCAGAAGATGCAAAAGATGTTGGGACTGCAAGCCATTGGCGACGGAGGAAGCCGAAAGAAGCTCATGAGCTCCCATAGTCTCATCACCGACGAGAAGGTGGCAACTGAATCCGGACGAGGCCTCAATTGGCGTCTTCCAGGGTCCTACTTCAGTGTCGGATGGGACACGGCGCGTCTCGCAGCGACCATTTACGTTGCCTTTGAGGTTCCGTACTTTGCAGTCTTCATCTCAATGGGCGACGAAACCGACATCTTCATGGTGCAGCAGGACATCAGTCTGCGGTATGTGCTGACTGTTTTAATCGAAGTTCTGTTTGGAATTGATCTCATCCTCCGCGCACGGTATTTCGCCTATTTGGAGCCGAGTGTGATGCTCAATGTGGTGCAACCGAGTCTAATTTTCGATATGTACAAAGCCAACGGGTTTTATCTCGACGTACTAGCGTGGCTGCCCATGGGTCTTGTGCTAGATTTTCTACCTGCTTGCAGTATCCAGAGATATTCCGCATTCTTCCGCCTGCTACGCATGTTACGCATGCGATTGATCCCAAACTTACTGACCAGCCTGGCGGATTTCTACGGGTTGAGCTCCAAATTGCGCACTGTTGTCTTTTTGGTGCTTGGGGTTACCTTAACGTTGCATATGGTTGGGTGCGCGTGGTTCCTAATGACGCTAATTGGACAAGATAAGGATTCTCTTCTTGGAGACACGGCGGCGATGTCTGCATTGAGCCGCCCCGAGTGTCTCGAGCAAGCCTCGAAGCTCCACAACTGCACGTGGGTCATTTTTGACTGCTACTCGCACATTGGTGAGACTTTTCCTATCGAAAACCCAGACTCAATGTACCAGGCTTCCTTCGCTTATCTACGTTCGCTCTACTGGGCAGTTGTAACGCTGACAGCAGTGGGGTATGGAGACATTGTCGCTTATTCAACGGCGGAGAGTTATTTTGCAGCATTCTGGATTTTTGTTGGAGGGATTATCAACTTTGGAGTCGTAGGGGCGATGTCGAGTACCATTTCGACTGCGATGGCCCCCCATCACCACTACATGGAGAAGATCAATACGCTTAACCACGTCTTGGAGCGGATAGAGATCTCGGAACACTTGAGTGGAGAGATCCGACGCTTCTACCACCAACAATTCACTGGAAGAAAGCAACGCTACGAATCTCAGTTGCTGTCCCATTTACCCGATCAACTGTGTTACAAGATCTCGTCTCTCTTGCACTCGGAAGCTGTGAAATGTATCCCACTCTTTAACTCGGCGAGCTCGGGATTTCTCAAGGAAGTGACAGGGCAATTCCGTCACCGGAGCTACCAGAATGGCGAGACGATTTGTCTGGAGGGGGATGTGTGTCGGGATTTCTTCGTATTTTTGCACAACAGCAAGGTCAATTTGTTTTTTCGACTTCGCAAAGCTCCGGTACGTGCGCTATGTAACGGGGACAGCTATGGAGTGAACGAGCTCTTGTTAAGACGGCCGTATCCTGCCACTCTTCGTGCTGCGTCGCACGTCCAGGCTTCGGTCATGACGCGAGACCAATTCGACCTTATCCAACGTAAATTCTCTCGAGATGTTACGGATATGAAGCCTGAAGCCGAAATGTTACGAGCTCAGGAACAGAATCGACTTGAGCGTATCGTCGCCAATCTGGAGAAGCTCAAACTGCAGCCTCATTCCATGCACACCCCAACGCTCTTCTATCAACGCGATGCCGTTCTAGCTCCAAAAGGATCTCGACATCTCATTCGTGACGTCCATTCGTTGAGGGAATCTTTCACTGCAGCGTGGAATGCGCTCGTCACGTGCTGGAACGTCTACAACGCGTTCTTCGTCGTATTCCGCGTTTGTTTCCACCCGCATCTCCACTTTTCAACTGGGGCGAATACTCTGGTTTGGGTCGCTGACATCAGCTGTGATGTTTGCTTTGCGCTCGACATTTATCTTCGGTTGTATTACTTGGGGTGCCCTGAAGTCGGGGTGGAGAATCTGCTCGAACGGAAGGAGATTGACAAGCAGTATCGTCGCAGTTCGACGCTGAAGTGGGACATTCTGGCGTCTTTGCCAGTGTACACGCCATTTGCAAGCGGCTCATGGGCTGCCAACCTGTGCAGAGTGCCTCGCCTTGTGCGTTGCGTGGATCTATGGACGTACCTGGACGATGCAATTCTCCTCATCCAGCAGCACTTTGCGTCTCACAATGTATCGGCGTATCTGAGTCCTGTCAAGTTGCTGGTCATCTTGGTGCTCGTGGCTCACTATGTGGGCTGCATTTTCTTTTGGATCTCAGAGCGTGAATGCCAACACGTTGATAAATGCTGGGTGGACAACGATCATCTCCTCCATCAGTATCACCACTCACTGGAAATGCTGTACGCAAAGTCTTTTTACTGGGCTACGACGACACTGCTGCTGGTGGGATCTCGCGAGAGTACCCCTCGAGACATGGCTGGTACACTGTGGACAGGCTTCACGTGCTTGTGCTGTACGTTTATTATCGGGCACATTGTGGGTGAAATCTCGGAGCTGATCCTGAACTCGGGAAAGAAACCAAACATTACAAAAGCCACGTCGCGAGCTTCGAGAGTTTCGCGACGACTAACGAGCTGCCTCAGGCATTACGCGAGCGTGTCACGTATTTCTTCCGCGTGCAGTTCGAGCACACAAAAGGGAGCGACTTATTCTCTACAGTGCACGATCTGTCAGCCAACCTTCGTCTTAAGTTGATGCTCGAAATCTACGGCAGTTCCATCGCGAATCTCCCGATTTGTCGATATCTCACATCGTCACAAGTGAATAATCTCGCATTGCGATTAAAACCAGAGTTATTCATCCCAGGGGATGACATTTTAGTGGAAGGAACGTATGGGAGTCGCCTGTGCACGCTGCGTAAAGGGATGGCCGCTGCCTTCTGGACCAGATCAGTTGCCGCAGTGGCGATTCTAATGGAAGGCGCATTCTTTGGCGAGATCGCTTTCTTCCTCCCAAGCCAGAGGCGACTTGCGACTGTGAAAGCTACAACGTTCTGTGAAGTGCTGTCTGTGTCTAAGCACGACTGGAAAGAACTGTGGGCGAGTGGCGGCAATGCGGCCGACGATCGCGTCCAGAAGCACGCTCTCCACGCCATTCTTGGCTGGGTCGGTAGTCGGCTGCAACGGTATCAAAAGGCCACGCTTCGATCTGCCACTCGAGCAAAACACTTACTTTCTTCCACTCCCGAAGCGGAAAAGGCAACAGCCCAAGGTCGGTCAAACCACAAAGCTGCTGCTGGGGTGATACGAGCTGCCACCCCTCCACGACGAATGTCACAAGCTGAAGTCTGTCGATTATTTGCACACCCAGAGGTGCAGCTGTTGGAGACGAAAGCGGAGCATTTGTTGACGAAAAGCGACAAATGTGCTGAGAAATTCAGCCCAGTTATCGCTTCGATCCAAGCGCGAAGGTCGTCGTCGATACTAACCACAGTACGGCGCTCAATTACTCAGAGCAGGGATCGTACCACAACGTCTAAAAAGAGTCAGTGGAACAACGGCAACTCCGATGCTTCGTTTGAGAATAAAAAGTCTATGGGCGATACCACTGCGGACATTCGTCTTCTCCAATTCATCGTGGACTTGAACCCACTGAACAAACACGTGAGCAGCGGCTTGAGTATGGAACGTCTTCGTGCAGTGGAAGCTGAATGTTGGACACGCTTCGGCGTTCTCTCTGAAGCGCAACGTGCAGTCATGGGCCGTCTGGACGCATTAATTCCCTCAGAATCCAACCCAACAAGTCGACGTCCAGAAATCAAGACGTTGGCTGGTAGAAAGGGTAAACAACTGAAACTGGGCACCAGTTTTCGGTTGAAAAAAGGCAACATGGAGGCTGTCAGTGTGGCATCTCCACCAAAGAGCATCTCAAAGGCTGGGCAAGCACCGGTAGGCAATTTGAACAGACAGAAACGGCGCCGATTATCCGTGGCAATGGTAAATGAGCGACCTCACCCGTGTCCATCAAAACCCGACGTCGCGTCACCACCCGAGCGAAGATTGCGCTGCCATTCCTTGCCAGTAATCGCGACTGACTTCTTACGAGTCAGAAAACGCAATCGAGCCCCAAGGCAGTCAAAAACATCCGGGATTAACTTTGAGATCCTGCAGCGCTGCCAACGCCCGCAATACGCAGCTCAGTTGCACTGGTATCACCGCTATCAACAGTGGAGAGCTAGCTCCAAGCTATCGGTCATACCGGTACCCAAAGCTGTAGACACGAAGAAAAGCAGAGGTTCTGTTGTCTCTCCGACCGATGAAATGCAAACCCCAAACTTTCGCAACTTCCGACGCCCTCGTGGTGCTGCGATGGGGTCGGGATTGAACCTTCCAAGCCAGCGAGCTCTCTTCTCTGCCACCACTGACTTGCGATCGCTAGTTTTCATTCGGCGAGTCAAGGAACTGGGCAAGGTGTGGGATTTCCTCATGCTTGGGATGGCAGTCTATCATCTGACCGTCACTCCATTCAAGATCAGTTTTTCACCTGCGCTTATTGAATTGTCTGAGGAAACACTACAGTGTTGGTCGGCCATGGAGATGTTCTTGGACGTGTTGTGCGGGGTTGACGCTGTCTATCAGTTGCAGTGTGCTTCGGTGATGCAGAAGAATGTCTTCTCGGCCGCAAACTCGTCGAAAGGCGGTCTCGGCCACGCACTTACTGCTAACCCGGAACTGCGAGCGTATATTGTCGCGTTGCTACCCCTCGAGCTTCTCCTTCTTGCTACCAACGTGCGTGTACCCATTTCGAATTCTTCCGTATCGCACACTGATGCATCTTGGTGGACCACCCGCTGGCTTCTTCGAATGAATCGCATCTTGCTCCTTCGTCGAATCGGTCCATTGTCGGAGCAGCTCTTTCAGTTTATTGTACATGACCTCAAGCTTCCTATCAGCGAAGAACTGCTCTACTTTGCGAGAGGGGTATCGTCCTACCTTGCCACTGGTCATCTCCTCGCGTGCATTTGGTTCGTCACCAGTGAGACAGGCTTTCACCAGTATGGGACGTCATGGCTGGCCACTTCAGGCATGTTGACGTACATTTCGGACGGCGCGACAGTCGTGGAGCACACTGGTCGAATGCTAAGCCAGAGCGCAAGCACCTTCTCTTTGGAAAGTGTGTCACTTGTTCGGAAGTACCTTCGGTCGCTCTTGTTCTCGATCGAGTGCATCTCAACGCTGTTTTACGGCGATATCTTGTCGATGAACCCATTGGAGCTGGTGGCCGAGATTGCCATCACGTTCTGGAGTATCTACATCTACGGCGCGCTGGTTGGTGCCCAAGCTGAGCTGCTGGATGCACGTGCAAAACGAGAGGCCAAGTTCGAGCAGCGACTGGGAGAACTACACCACTACGTGCTGCAAAATGACGTTCCCAAGACTCTAAGACGGCAGATTAAAGCTTACTACGCTCGTCTGTGGGTTCGAGGGCGTGGCGAGAGCGAGTTCTCTTCGGTTAAAACGGTTTCGCGTGTCTTGTATGAAGACGTGGTTTCTACTGCGCTCCGTCACTTTGCTGCTCAAGTCAAGGCTTTCCGAGGGCTTGAAGACCATTTCTTACGAGCGTTGCTCGTCTGCTTGCAGTATGTCGTGTGTGACGAAAACGAAGAGATTGTCATGAAAGGTGATGTGGACCGAAGCATGTACTTTATCGCTCAGGGGCGAGTTCTAGTCAAGACGGACGCATCGGATGTTACTCGGGAGCGAGGCGAGTATTTCGGGGAGCTGACGCTGCTTTACGGTATCTCACGGCTGGAAACGTGCGTAGCTCTCACTGTAGCTGAGCTGTATCGACTGGATCACGAACCGTATGCGCGTCTGCTGCTAGAATTTCCAGAGTATCGAGCTCGCAACAGGCTTTCGTGGACTACAGTCGCAGAGCCCGAACGAGTAGCGCTTCAATCCCCTCCACGTCTACACCGAACACTTGCTTCCAGACCAAGTATCGCCAAAGTGGTGCCTACCACAGCCGAGAACTTGGAGGCCCGACTGCAGTTCTCGTTTGTACTGAGGTCGTCGATGAAAATGCTAGCGAACTTGCGGTCGCTGCATCCGCTGGAGGCAAAAGAGTTGATTCTCAAGTGTCGCGATGGGGCACGCAAACATTTGTTGCAATGTATCACGCCTGTCAACGGAAACAAGGAGAATTTTGGTTCTTCCGAGGGGCCCAAACGATGCCAGACGTTTGAAAATGGCCGCACGAATCGAGTCAAGTGGCATGTTGAGTAGAAAAGAAGTACAAGTGTTTATAAGGGCGTTTTACTTGTCTAGAGCTCTCTCGAACAGCTTCTTCAAAGTTTCCGTCCTCTGGTGTTCCGTGGGCCTTGATAGTTCTTCCACTACCGCTTCCATGTGTTTCAAACTGTCACTGTGGTGTTCGTGCAAACTCTTCTCCCGTGGTGTTGGGGGTGAGCTGTGAAAGCTGCGTACGGCGTCTTCCTCTTGTTCCAGTCGTGCTGTGGCAATGCCCAGTGCGGTCTTGAGCTGTCTGCGAGCACCATATCGACTTTTGAGATACAAATCCTTGGCCTCCAACGGGTCCACCTTGTTAAGCCTCGACAACAAATCCATGGCGGAGCGGTAGATATACGACTGTGGCAATTGAGCGTCGATTCGCTCAGCGTTAACCGCGATGCTCTCCCTGTTCAATAGCGTCGGTACTTGACTCGAAGGTCCTTGTAAACCAGGATTTCTAGCTTTCCCACATTGTTTAAAGCAGCGTAAAGCCTCCTCGATGATGGAGCGTTCCTTGCTCGAGCCAGTGGAGATGGTGGTCCACGACAGTTTATTCCGCGCTCGATACTCTGGGAACTCGAGCAGTAGACGCTCGTAGGGCTCGTGATCTAACCGATACATCTCCGTTACTGTCACTGCCGCACACGTTTCTAATCGAGAAATCCCGTACAAAAGCGCCAGCTCCCCGAAGAACTCGCCATGTTCACGAATCGTTTCACTGCTGCCCATTTTGACTGCAACTCGCCCTTGTGCAATGAAATACATGCTGCGATCCATATCCCCGAGCACGAAAACCTCCTCTCTTGCAGAGCACACGACGTAGTGCAGGCAGACAAGTAAGGCACGCAGAAACTGATCGTCCAGTCCTCGGAATGCTGCCACCTGCCCTGCGAAGCCACGCAATGTAGCCATCACGACGTCTTTATACAGAGACCGAGAGACGTGAGCTACCGCAGCAAACTCAGCTTCTCCCTTACGACGAGCCCACAGACGCGCATAGTAAACCTTGATCTGTCGCTTAATCGCCTTGGGCACGTCGTTGTGGACCAGATAATGATGCAGCTCTCCTAGCGTTTGCTCAAACGCAGCCTCGCGCTTAGCACGTGCATCCAAGAGTTCTCCCTGTGCACCGACCAGCGCGCCGTAGATGTAAATGGCCCAAAGTGTGATCGCGATTTCCGCTACCAACTCCAAAGGGTTCATGGAGAGAATGTCGCCGTAGAAGAGCGTGGAAATGCACTCCATCGAGAAGAGCAAGGAGCGAAGATACTTACGAGACACAGAGATGGCCTCGAGTGAAAAGGAACCGACCGCTTCGCTAAGCCTTCGCTCGGTTTCTTCGGCGTGTTCAGCCTCTTTGATGTACGTTAACATGCCCGATGTCGCGAGCCACGACGTCCCATAACGATGGAAGCCCACGTAGCTCGTGAGATACCACATACAAGCTAGCAAATGTCCCATAGTCAGATAGGATAACAGTCTCTTGAGGAAGTAGAGAACTTCCTCGTCGACCTGCGCCTTGCGGTCATAGATCAGAAACTGGAAAAGCTGCTCCGTTAGAAGTTCAATACGACTGGCGAGAAGCACCCGATTCATCCGTAAAATCCATCGAGAGGTCCACCAGGAAACACGAGTCGCTTCTGCGCGAGCTAGAGGCATTCGTACATCGGTACCGAATAAAAGCAGTTCGAGCGGCAGCATTGCAGCAATATAGGTTCGTAACGCTGGATTTGACGTCAGTGCTCGTCGAATTCCTGGCTGCCGTGAGCTTGCCACTGCAGAGACGCCACTTTCTCGTGTCGTGGAGCTATACCAGAGTTTGTAGCCCACGTCAAATAAGCACAGTAAGTCCATGAAAATCTCGAATCCTGACCATCCACGCAGAGCAGCATCGGATAACTCAGCAAGGTCGGGCGAGAAGCACACCTTGAAAGGTGTGATAATTGAGTGGTAAACTGCTACGATGAGCATCGCCAGATCCCACAATCTCGCCATTAGCTGGACATCTCTAATGAATTTCTTCGCCTTGAGTTCAGTTTTGGCCATGTGGAGAGCTTGCTGACTCGCCAGTTGGAGTCGAGATCCCATTGCAGCTGATCTGTCGGTCAGCGTCGAAGCTGTTCGTGGTATGGCATCACTCAGAATGCGAGGAGAGCTCATGTGCTGATGCTCGGGTGAAACTGTGGCTTGCTTGCGGTCCTTCCACGCTCGGTATCGTTGGAGCAATTGTAGCTGCATTGAATGCTGAGGCCGCTGCGAGCGCTGGAGCGTCTCAAAGTCAAATCCTAGCTGCGTATTGTTCACTGCCAAGTAGCTGGTGTCATTGCGACGCATTTCATCGAAGAACTCGCGTCCAAACTGCGGCAACGAGTGACAACGCACCATCCTCGAAAGTCTCGCAGTTTGATCGGATTGTGGTACGTCGCGGGACTCCTGGGCTTGGATAGACATCCTGCGATTACGGAGACCACCGAAATTATCTTTGGAGAATAGAGAGCTCAGTCTCGGGGCGGCTGCTACAGCTACTGCCTTCCACTTGTTGGCTGCTTTTGGCCCACTCCCTCTTCGGTTTGAAGCCGCCGCCACTAGCTCGTCTACGCTATGCTTTCGACTTGAAATCTCATCGTATCGAAGTGAACGCGTCCGATGAAGTGTGATATTCTTTGCTGGCTGGATCTTGACTGGGGAGCGCTGGTCTGCAGACGCAGAGGCACTGGACGATTGTGTGAAGATCGTGTCGCTTGGCGCGAGCTCCTCTAGCAGTCTACTGACCCCGTATTGAGCCACTGCAAGAAGCTTGCAACGCGTCCAGCACTCCTTCTCAATCCCTCGCACATGCTCGTCCGAGAGAACATCGCGCACATACTTGTTGATCGGATTGGTGTCAATCATAAACTGCACTAAGCGAATGTCTAGTGTGGTCACACTGTTGCTCCGAGCGAGAGGCACAGCTGTGTCGCCTACCATGCTCCGATAAACTCCTGATACCCCACTGGAGTTCCCTCGACTTCGACTGTGCGAGACGCTACTGCGAAGGCTTCTTGCTGACATTATTGAAGAAGTTCGTCGAGGAGTGTGCAAAGCTTCAATCGCTGGATGGAATTGTTTGGCACACTTGTCAGTTTTGGCTTGGAGATATTTCGTTTTCCTCTCCAGAATTTGCATTTCAGAGGCTACAGACGACCGTCTGGTGTCCACAGATGACGTAGCCGACGCGTACCTTGGCGGAGAAGTGAGGTTTGTTAGCGTTGAGACGCCTACGTCACTGCTCTCTCTGTGGTTCAGTAGCACAGCAGATAATCTGGTTTTCGCTTTTGCGGTCCCTGCAGCAGCTGCGGCCGTCGAGTGCAGCGAGTGACGAGAAGATAGCAGACGTTTGGCTTTACTAGCAGCATGCAGACTAGCTCGTTGATAGCGCAGCAGACGAACGCGAACCCAGTGGAATATGGCGTGCTGTGCATGTTTCTGGATCTGAAGATCCGACATATCGCCAGTGGAAGTCCACAATTCCTGCCAATCGTGTTTCGAGACAAACAGCACTTCACACGCAGTTGTCGCACGCACAGTTGCAAGTCTCCGTTGACCCGACAGAAAGAACGCAACTTCACCAAACAGCGCGCCCTCCATCAGGATAGCTACACTTGTAGCCGAGTGGGTCCAGAAGGCGGCAGCTATTCCTCTACGAAGCGTACACAGCCGACTCCCGAACGTGCCCTCGACTAGAATGTTATCGCCTGGGATGAAGATTTCGGACTTCAGTCGAATGGCTAGATTGTTGATTTGCGCCGACGTGAGGAAGCGACTGATTGGCAGTAACTTGATGGAGTCGCCGTAGATTTCGAGCATGAGTTTGAGCCGTAGATTAGCCGACAGGTCATGTACTGTGTGGTGCAAGTCGGATCCTTTGGAATGCTCGAATTGCTCTCGAAAGAAAAACCCAACGCGTTTCCGTAGGCCATCAGACAGTTCGTGCTCCTTCGCAAAGCCATCGAAGCTCGTGATTCGACTCTTGTAGTGCTTTACTTCTTTCCCAAGCTCGAGGATCAGTTCGGATATTTCTCCCACGACGTGTCCAATGATAAATGTGCATAGCAAACACGTCAAGCCCGTCCATACCGTGCCAGCCGTGTCACGAGGAACACTCTCACGAGACCCCACCAGCAGTAACGTCGTGATAGCCCAGTAAAAAGACTTTGCGTACAGCATCAACACCGAGTGGTGGTACTGGTGCAGCATATGGTCATTTTTGACCCAGCACTTTTGAACGTGCTCACACTCATGCTCTGAGATCCAGAAGAAGATGCAGCCTACGTAGTGGGCCACCAGCACCAAGATGATCATGAGCTTCAGAGGACTCAGATACGCCGATACACTGTGAGACGCGAAGTGCTGCTGGATCAGAATGATGGCATCATCCAGATATGACCACAAATCGACACAGCGGACAAGACGTGGCAGTCTGCACAGACTGGCAACCAGCGATCCGCTAGCAAATGGCGCGTAGATTGGCACTGACGCTAACATGTCCCACTTGAGTGTCATACTCCGACGGTACTGCTTGTCCATCTCTTTCCGCTCGACGAGATTCTCCAAACCGACATCAGGGCACTCGAAGTAGTAAAGCCGAAGGTAAATATCCAGCGCAAAGCAAATATCGCAACAAATGTCGGCGATCCAAACAGCAGCATTCGCCCCACTTGAAAAGTGAAGATGCGAGTGGAAACAGATGCGGACGATGACGAAGATGGTGTTGTACACGTTGCACAGCACGACGATTGTCTTCCAGAGACTTGAAAGGAGTTCGCGTGTGGCGTTGACGTCCCTCGCCACTTTGCTGTCTTTGGCTCCACTAACTGCGCTTGCTGTCGACGGATCGCCCTGGTAAAACAGAGTTGACGTCGACATTATGTGTGGCTGAAGCTTGAGCTTCTCGAGGTTGCGCACAATACGTCGCATGTTCTTCTGCTGTTCGGTCCAGAGCGTTTGTGCTTCTTCCTTCATATCCTTAAGATCGTCGTCGAATTTGCGTTGGACGACGTCGAATTGTTCACGAGTCATGACCGAAGCGTGCACTAGCGAGGCGGCCGTGAGGGTAGCGGGGTGGGGGCGTCGCAGCAAGAAAGCCAGAACGCCAAAGCTGTCGCCTTCATGAAGACCACGAATCGGCACCTTTCTAGACCTGAAGAACACGTTGACTTTACTGCCATGCAATAGCACGAAGAATTCTCGACAGACATCCCCCTCCAGACAAATCGAGTCGCCGTTCTGATAGATCCGATGACGAAATTTACCTGTCACTTCCTTTAGAAACTCGATGCTGGCCGAGTCGAAGAGCGCCACACTTTTCACCGATTCCGAGTGCAGTAAAGACGATATTTCGTAGCAGAGTTGATCGGGTAAATGCGAGAGTAACTGCGACTCGTAGGCTTGCTTGCGTCCAGTAAAAGCGTGGTGGTAAAAGCGACGAATCTCGGCGCTGAGTTTCTCGGAGATGTCCAGGCGCTCCAGCACGCTGTTCAGCGAGTTAAGCTTCTCCATATGATGATGGTGAGGCGCCATGGCATTGGAAATAGTACTCGACATGGCCCCCACGACTCCAAAATTGATGATCCCGCCGACAAATATCCAGAACGCGGCGAAGAAACTCTCTGCAGTCGAATACGCGACAATGTCACCATAGCCAACGGCCGTCAACGTCACAATGGCCCAGTACACGGAGCGCATATACGCGAATGAGGCCTGATACATGGAATCTGGATTCTCGGCTGGGAAATCGCCACCGATATGAGCGTAGCAGTCGAATGTTACCCACGAGCAGTTGTCGAACAGTGCTGAGTGTTTTAAACATTCCGGGCGTGACAATTCCGTTAGCACGCCTTTATCCGCATGCTTCGCAGTTCCAATTTCCGACATCCAGGCCATCTCAAACCACACACACCCAACAACATGGAGCATGAACGTGACTCCTAGTAGTAAAGAAATGACAAGGTGGGCCTTCGAGCTGATGCTGTAGTAGTCGCAGATATTCCACAGTAGCTCCGGGACCTTCCGCACTCGTAGAAGTCGAAGTAAGCGAAGCATCCACGAGTATTTCTGGTCTGATGCCGTAGCTAAAGACTCTAAGATCACCCCCACTGGCAGCCACGCGATTAGATCGGGATAGAATCCATTCGCTTTGTAGGCAGAGAAAATGAGCTGCGGGTCTTCCACTGGGAGCATCACGATAGGGTCCAAGTGCGCGAAATGACGCGATCGCAACACGAGATCCACGCCGAAAAGCACTTCAATCACCAACGCGAGGGAGTATCTCAACCCAAACTCAGGCTGCTCCACGAACATTTGCTGCTCGTCGGTCATCGAGATGAAAACGGAAAAGTACGGCACCTCGAACGCAATGAAGACGATCGATAACAGGCGCACCGCATCCCAGTGGATACGAAACACAGAGCCTGGCAGCCTCCAGCCGACGCCGCGTCTACGACTATGTGAACCTGCAGTCGCCGTCATGCTGTCCGGATCCTCGGCACGCCGAGAGCTTACAGCTCTGTTTCGAGCACCCAACAGCTTTTTCGTCTTACGAAGCTGCGTCGTGTATTTTTCAAGCGCTTCTGCCATCCCCGCTCGTATTTCGCCCTCGTTGTTCCGATAGAATCCGCTCATAGCGTCGTCAAACTTGCTTTTCGCCAGCACGTACAGCTCACAAAAAGTCTTGGCGACGGCCTTCTCCAAGAACGTCTCTGGAGAGAGGAGACAGGAGTCAGCGAAAAAGTCTCCCGTTTGACACTCTCTTGAGTTTGATCCTTTGAAAGAAGATAGCACCACTGTGCCGCGGATGACGAAGAACATTTGGGCGTTGAACTTGGGCTCGATTATCTGGTCAGCCGGCGAATACACGCGTCGAACAAGAGCGGCTGCCAGGAGGTTGATAAACTCGACGCTTTCCTTCGCCAAGAAGCAAACCTGCTTGATCCGACTCGCTTTCAGCGTCGAGACAACCTTCGACTGCAGATGCTTGGGCATCAAACGCAGCGCTTCTTCGCTGTCCAGACTGCGGTGGGTATTCCACGCGTAGCTCAAGTACGCGATCACTTGTCGTCGGACGGCACGCGGGATGTTCTGGGAGCGCATGTACTCTCGCGCGTTGTCCACGTGTGTTGAGAAAGCAGCATACCGTGCGTTCCGAAGCCGAAAGATGAAGAGAAACGTCGCTAGCAAGGACGACCCGAAGAGCGCCCCCAGCAGCGTCGCGGCCAGCGCGTAGATTGTCTCGGCGTCAGACACTGGCGTCACATCGTCATACCCCAGTAACACCAGAGTTCGAGACGCCCAGTAGAGCGTACGAGCATACTTACGAGCCACCGAGGCGCCAAAAAGACGGTCCCGAACAGCCCAGCTCGTTTCCACGTGCTCGTCGCAGGCCTCAAGCGAGACTCCACACTGCGCATGAGCCATCAGCATGTACCCACAAGCGACATAGTGACACAGACCAGCACAGAGGCCAATATTCCTTACAAGACTGGCGATACCGGTAGAAGATAAATGCTGCACCCATGTCCGGTCGGAGTAAATACTGGCGAATCGCTCCAAGCAGTGGCGCAGTTTATACAGACGACAGAGCTTGGTAATCCGCACTACATGCAGTGCGTTGAAGGTTCCTGAGGCGTACGGTACGACCTCCACAGGCAGCAGTGCCACCACTTCTAATACCAACCGAAACTTCGTAGTTCTCACAAAATTTCGCTCAGCGTTTCTGTCGTCCACGGGGTTGCCATGTAGCTCGGCTGATTGTCCGATGGATGCCAAGGTCCACTCGGTTTTCCTTCGATGTGCGGTACTGAACGACGATGAGCGCATGAGCCTCCTCGAGGCCTGTTGCAGACTGGCGCTTTTACTCGCGTCGAAACTGGCGAATCGCGGTCCGAAAACTTTCTTTTGCAGTCGATAAAAGCGTAAAAACTCTAATATCCCGATAAAATCTGCGACTGCATCCAAAACGGCAAACACACGGAGCTCCTCCGTCCAGTGGTGAGTGATGGTCTCTCCAGTGTCGTAGTAGAAGGCAATGCGGAACGGAATCGTTAAGAAAATGTAGAGGATCGCACAGAGACTGACGCTCGAGCGGATGGTCTGTCGTGTGGTCCACGAGAGTTTCTCGTACGCAGTCTCAAAGGGCCATCGTCGATTATGTCGAGGGTGGCGAGAGATTGCGGGCTTGGGTCGGATCTCTTGGGTCGCCACGGACGGCCCGTTGCTCGAGAGCAGCGTGGGCCCGCCACTGACGCCTGATGCGTAGACCTTCATGGGATACGAGCCATTCAACTAACTGGGGGAGTGTTGAAGCAGGGGGTTTCACATCGTCTGCAAGGTATTTTTAACGGGTAGGTCCGCGCAGTCCTTCCCAAGTCCGCCTCGGATTGACAGCAGCAAACGAACCATTTGAAGCGCCACTTTCGATTATCGCTCTTAAATTGTCAAAACACTCCAATTCGATTAAATGTTGCAAAAGATCTCCAGTAATACCAGAATTGACAATGGTAGTGTTGAGATTTCAATTAATTGTTTTGGAGGTCAAGCCTGATTCGATTTTTTTAGGTCGAGCTATTTATTGTTGCCAAGTATTAATACTTAAATATGGTCACCTGATCACGATTCCGTGCAATTGAGCTGGTTGGGGACTACTTGGCAATTTAATTTCGCTCCATCGCGAATTCTAAAGCAAAACATCACGACATCTTGATGTCCACGTACCGCTGCTTCGTCGAGTACTTGCCACGTAATGTAGTTGTAAACTTTTTGCAATAAAAGCAGAAGTACCTGCTCCTTGATTGGAATCACGCAAACTGAAAACTTAAGTCTACACCTGTATCCACCAACCGCATCAGTTTTGGTAGAGTGACCATAACAAAGCAGTGACTGTAGATACGTACCGTAGTGCACTAGCGTTAGCTGCCGAATGAATGGGGTCCAAACAAACAAATGCCCTTGGAGTGTATTCGCTTGAGTTTCCAATACAAAGGCCAATTCCAACCACTGAAAACGCCAAGATGCTCACTAGGGTTTCGTGCAGCTTGATAGGTGTCATTGTGGCTGTGTGTGGGTAATAAGCTGCAATGGGCAGATGGAAGAGCACAGCGAGGTATAGTGCGTAGAGTAGTGGCAGCATGAACTCGATATACTCGCCCATCAGGACGTACTCGGAGTAAAAAAGTGCTTGAAGAGCGTCATAGGCAGACTGCTCTGTGGTGTTCAGCTGGAAGGCCTTGCTTATCGCAATAAATTCTGCAATTGAGCTTGAGCACTGCAGTTCTTCGCGAAATTTTCTGCTCGGGCTGGAGGAAACACTTACCTGCGACTCTATCGTCACAATTGGCTCGAAGGTCTCGATTGGTTGCTTGCATTTACGCTTGGCGGCTTCTTGAACGATCTGGTTGTAGTCAAATGTCAACAGAGATGTTCGCTCTAGATTATCTAGAAAAGCTTGGCTTTCAGCGGATAGTGAGAGTGCAAAAGGAGCACGAAGTCGAAGTAGCTTTACGGGGTTAAAGGAATTGAAAGCTCGTTTGCACCAAAAGGAGTATATCGCTCAAATAGTACGTAGACTCGGAAATAAGTGGCCATTCTGACTTCGAGTCAATAGACTTCTTCCGTCGGAATATACTTCGGACAGCAATGATAACGTGGAGGCTATCAACAGCGACAATAAGCACGGTCGTGAGTGTGGATGTTGCTGCTTGCATGCAGATAGCGACGTAGAATACGTTGAAAACATCAAGTGAAAACACCACAATGGGACCAACGAATTCGTGGAGATTTTTAGCTGCATCAGCGATAATTTGCTTTGTGACAAACTTGATCATAGGCATGACCATTAGAAGAGCGGTTTGTTTGTATAACTCGTATGACAGGTCGAGAAGAAGTAGGGAGAGGAAGAAGACGTTATGTAGGCGTCAAAAGACGAAGTGAGTACTTTATTAGTATTAGGAAGCCACCAATAGCTGTACACCAGCCATTAGTGTCTGTATAGTTTAAGCCAGTCATACCGACTTAAACAGGACCTCCTAAATCTCATTATAATATTTTGGAGTGACTAAGGTCAAGGTAATCAAACTGTTTAGAGGCTACTTCAACAGCCTCCCTGGCAGGGAGGCTGTTGAAGTAGCAGGGACCCTGCCTCTGAACATATTTTATCAAACTGACAATTCTATGTTATAACAGAGGTAAAACTTTCCTTAAAGGACTTTTCCTCAGTCCTTGAAACGCCGCCAGGAAGTCGCTTAGGCTAGCCGATCTGACTTTGCCCTGCAGTTTCTGCTAGGGAAGGAGGACGCTAAGTGACACGCCTGGTAGGAACTCAAGGATGGAGCCCAACATGTCGTCTCTACTTGCCGCTGCTACGAAGCAGGCTCCCTCGCATCGGTAGAGGCTATTTCGGTGGGCACAGAGCCCTTCCGATCTGCAAAGAGCGCTTCTTATGAGGGAGAAGAAGAAGCGGGCGCCGCGGACAGCACTGCAGGTTGCGCCAGTTCTCATCGCCACGCTGGAGGAGGGGGGAAGGGGCTTCTCGAGCACACGTGGCCACCACTCCATCGAAGAAGTCACTAAGCTGGGGTATTTAGTGATGATGTCATTTGTCACACAGAAACCACAAAATCTACACATTATGACACCGACTACGTGTCCAGAGTGACACAAATGCTGAAAGTGAAAGCGACTGAGATGTACTGGCGTATCTCTAACAAATTTGTTGTTAAGCATGGATTATTATTGATAAACTCATGTGTCTAGATAATTCGGTACTTGACCAGGGAAACCTCAACGAGGGAAAACCTCGTGCGAGCAAAAAAGAATAAACCCCAGTGGGAAAAAATTCTAAAAAGAACGCAGAATATAGACACGCTTCATGCGCTTGTATTATCATGGTATTTCTAAACTGAGTGGCCGGATCCTGCTTTCAGACATTTCATCCTGAGCTTGGCCCTTAGTTCTCTAAACTGGTGCTTATCTAAAGCTTTAGTGAAGATGTCAGCTATCATCTCTTTCGTATTGCAGTAGGTGACGTTAAATTCATGCCGCTCTACTTTTTCTTGCACGAAACAGTATCGTACGTGTATATGTTTTGATCGTCCGTGAAGTTCGGGGTTGTAGCAGATTTTGATGCAGCTCTGATTATCCTCGTATATTATGTTAGCCTGCGTTGTAGCAAAGCCAAGTTCGTTGAGGAGAAGTTTGAGGAATATCATCTCTTGCATGCAGTGACACAGGGCGATATATTCTGCCTCTGTTGTAGAGAGAACTACAGTATGATGCTTACGCGAAAGCCATGAGATAGGACCGCTAGCTAGCATTGTCACGTATCCTCCAATGGAGCGTCTCGAGTCGGGGCAGTTGGCGTAGTCAGAGTCACTGTAGGCAATTAGTTGATCGGCAAGGTTTTCCGATGTAATATCGGTCGAGCCTCCCAGAAGAAGACCGTATTCTTTCGTTCCAGATAGGTACTTTAGACCACG